CCATATGGGGGGTATTTGTTAGACTACTTTGACAATATTTATCGATTGGGACTATCCGTTTACCCAAAAAATGCCATCTGGTGTTTGCTCCAGTACAAAATATTGTAAAAATAATCGATTTTTGCACTTTTTCAACGATAATTCGCAGGTTATTCATTTTTTTGGATACTGTCTTCGGCAAAATTGTGGCCGTTGTAAAAACAAACAACTCTTCTGAACACTTAACCCAACAAAATCACATCCAATGTGTTTTGAGTTAAGATTTTTGAAAGTGAAATTTCGAGCCAAATAAGTGGTCAGAACATGCTTATTTTGGATTTATATGTTCAGAAAGGTTGTCTATTTTTACACTGGCTACTTTTTTGTCGAAGACCGTGTCCAAAAATATTGAATAAATTTCGAATTTTAGTCAAAAATATGGAAAAAAAGTGAGAAAAAAACGGTTTAAGTAGTCTGAAGTACTCTTAAGTACTCTTAAGTACTTCTAAGTACTCTAAATGTACATCATAATATAGTTAGGATTAAAAAAACAAATATTTGCGCAATCTGGAAGAAATTATTTTTTCTCCCGGGAAGAAATTCAAACAATATCCCAGGAAATTAATCAGGGGAGGGTCGGAGGGCAATATAAGTGGGTCCAATCGATAGATCTCGTCAAAGTACCCCAACAAACACCCTTCCAACTGGGCGTAAAATCCATTCCTAAGCTTGAAAATTGGATCAATATGATTCTTCCCATTGAATTCATGGTATATTTTAAAATGCGATTTCCGGGCTTGGGAGTGGGTTCACCCCCCCAAATGAGGGGTATCGTCAGAGTACTTTGACAAGATCTATCGATTGGACCCACCCATATTGCCCCCTGACCCTCCCCAGACCATTTTTTGGAGTAATGTATATGTAAGGGAAGCATCATCGATAATAACCCTGTGGGGGGGGGGTCAGGAAATGGGTCAGTTGACATCAGGGGAAGCTCCAATCGATAGATCTCGTCAAAATACATTGAGATACAAACTGGTCCGGGGGGCTCTTTTTTGTTTTCTTTGTGTCGCAATAATCCACCAAGATTGCACGTTGTCTCAGTTTTGATTTGTTTATTGATTTTGTTGTTTTTGTGGAATTAATTCATATTTCCAATGGCGATTTTTTCACACTGTTCGATGTTGGCATTTTGTTGGAATGAATCGATACAAGAGAAAAAAATGAAAAAAAAAAATAACACTCCAAATACCCAGAACAAATGAGTCAATCAAGTAGACTCTGTAAACAAACAATGTGTTGAGTGTAGAGCTGTGTGCGAACACGTCTGCTAGCGTCGGAATGCTGAGCGCAACATAACATCTGTTTGAAAGCCACTTAAATAAGTGAATTTTTGCGATTCAAACTCAGTTACTTTTCAGCTTTTAAAGCAACTGGTTGATACGCTACGAGGCTTCTTATTCACAAAAGCAGTGAACAAGCTCAGATTCACCAGTGCACATGTAAGAACTAGAAGATATCAGGGCGTTATCTCTTATCAGTAACTGATAAGGAAAAATTCGCGTTTTCGCGGTTTTCGCGCAACTGATAAGAAATAACGAAATGGTGTCTTTACAAATATTGTAATAATCAAAGTGCTCTACAACTTTGCTGAAGACAGAAGTCACTTATCTCTTGTCAGTTTCGTTAAAAATGAGAAGGCGAATATTCGCGTTTTCGCGGTTGTTCACGTATTGCGTGTAACTGATAAGAGATATGAGATATCCGAGTTCGGCAAAGTTGTAGAAGACTTTCAGTACTACAACTTCGCCGAAGACACCAAGTTGCTATCTCATATCACGGTCCAGTTTCCATGAAAAAACACATTACGGGCATTGTATGCCCGAGGGACAGGCAACGCACATGTGTGTGTGGGAGGTAATATCTCACACATGCTTACACATATATACGTATATGAAATTTCACTAGTGTGTAGCTAAAGGTTCAAGCTATCGAACGGTACAAATTTCTTTTTTTTTGGTTTTTGTTAGTTGCATTTGTATTTCAAAGTCGCTTCGAGCATTTTATGCCCGAGAGACAATCATAGTGTTAAATGCAATTCAAATTTTGCATTACTAAACTAGTTCGTGCTGAAGTGTTCCAATTGAAATCGATATCAAGTTCAGAGAAGATGTAAA